TTTCTCTCTCTAAAACCTCCATTTTCACACCTTCAAAACCCCTTATTTACAAGATCTCCTCCAATTCTTCCATCAAAACTCAAATATTTTTACATATTCTTAATCCTTTTATCTTTCTCTACAATCTACACCAAATTTCTACCACTTTCTCTCAATTTTTCTCAAAACCCTAAGAGAGAGAACTTCAATTCTTACCATTTCTCATCAAAAATGGCTCTCAAAAGATCTAGGACCATAAGGGGGGAAAGCTCAAGGCAACAAGCGCCTAGGATTGACCCGGAGTTGCAAGTTCCGGGATGGGAGAGGGTGGTCATCACCATCCAAGAGCAAAGACAACAGATGATCAATCTCACGTCAAGGCAGGTAATTCCTACACGCTTTGTTCATCACCCCACCCTTGCTAGATTAGGAATTGATAAACCCGTAGAAAAATTGTTTAAAGGAATTGGCATGAGTGGTTTCTTTCAATTGCATTATGATACTTATGATTATTTGACCATGGAATTTATTTCTAGTTTTAATTTTATAAAATCTAATACTTTGATTACTCATGTTCAATTTAGATTGCTTAATAATGATGTTAGATTGTCTTTGAAAGAATTTGGAAAATTATTTGAGTTAAAATCGGATAGACCAATCGAACCTCCTTAAGACAACATTGCCGTTGTCGATGAATCCCTTACGGGGGATGCCAACTTGAACCTACAACATGCCAAGGGCACTTGGATACAACATCCCGTGCCAAAGTTTTGGCAACGGTTTGTTGGCCTTACCGTCTTTGGGAGGCATGAACCCGCCAACGTTAGGAGGGATGAACTAGAATTTTTAGGGTCATACATGATACCTAAGAGTGATAAGCTCAACATTGTCCATAGGATGGCCCAACACTTCCAAAGGTTGACCAATGCGGCCGAAGGGGGTAGGTCTAGGGTACCCATTTATTTTGTTGGTCTAGTAACTCACATAGAGGTCAAACACCTTAACTTTGTCCCTAAAAACAAGGGGAAGGTAGCCGGCCCAACACTTATGGACCTAGCCTATTTAGGGAGTCGAAACTGGGTGCAACCCGTGGGGGGTGACACTTGGTGGATAGTCCACCGACAATCGGGTAGGAGGGACCAAGCCTTCACCTTACCCAACCCCGCCTTGACCAAATTTGAGAAGAGGAAGCCTTCTTATACTTTTGAGATTAACGGTCAAGGTGAGGTTCAACCACCTCACCCTTCACCACAACCCCACCAATCTCCCCAAGACCACTCCCCCCACCATCATTCACCACACTACCCACCACCTTCACCCTTCACCTATAGCATACCCACTTCCTCGGTTGACTACAACGTCGACCCCAATGCACCTTATGACTTTTTGGCTTTTAGGAGCCAATTGGACCGTATCGAGATGCGGCAAGGGAGAGTTGAGGGTATGATGCAAAACCTAGATTCTAGGTTAAGCACCTTGGATGGGCGGGTAGGACACTTAGAGAGGAACCTCGGGAGGGGTCTGTACCCCATGTACGATGATTATGCACGCCGAGGGGCTATTCCCCCCGAGGCATTAGTTCCCGATTGGTTCCAATACCCCCAAGGAGGGTATTCTCACCCCGGTGTGTATGGTACTTATGTGGACTACTCTTCAGTCCATGGATATGGGGGTGACGCTCCTTTTGGAGGTATGGGGGGGAATGTGAACCCTAACTACTTTGCAGGTGGTTCGGGTTATGATGGTGCTGAACCGAGCAAGGGTGGTGCCGACTCGAGCTATGGAGGAGGATATGAGAGGATTGATGACGATGAGGAGTAGCTCCTCCTAGCTACCCTCCCAAGTCAATGAGGGCATTGCTTGATTTGGCTTGGGGGGAGATTTCTTTTATATATGGTAACTTTCTTTCTCTCTTCTCTATTTATTGCTTTCCTAGTGTAGTTTTTATTGCTTTCCCTTATGAAAAAATACAAAAAAAATTTGAAAAATAAAAAAATCCAAAAATACATTCCAATGAATTGTAATTCATGGATCCCTGTGTCCCATAATTAGAAAATATTGTTTTGATTCTTGGTATATGATAATGATCGTTGTGAATTTGTTGATCATGATTTGAAGTTTAATTGTTTGGATTCCTAAACATGCGTCAATTTTGCCAACTATTTGTGAATATAGTGCTTGACTAGTTGATTTGGTTAGGAATGTGTGATAGTTCCATAGTTCCTGGTATGTTAATGAATTTGAGTATTGATTTGCAACTATTAGTAATGTTTATATAGCTCAATATTATGCACATTGAGGAGGACGAAGGCATTTGTTCTCTTAGGAAGCCTTCAGACGTTATTAGATACATTTGTTCCCTTCTTGTTACCCATGTTGTTGCTTGTGCCCTTTTATTGTTTATTTAGCCACATTACAAGCCTTATGAGCCCCATTGGTTACTAGTCCCAAGCTTGGCTTGGGGGAGCTATTAGTTGGTGAGGTGAGGGAGTTGTGGTGTGCACATTAATTGCACAATGTGGGAATAAAAGAAAAGTGTTTGTTCTTTGATTTTATGATTGGAAAATATTGATATGTTGTGTTACAAAGTTGAAAATTTCCAATATGAGTTAAAAAGAAAAAAAAAAGAGCAAAGAAAAAAAGTTGTTTCATATGTTCAAATGTTCTATTTGAAGGTTGTTCACAAAAAGAAAAAAAAGAATTCAAGTTTGAAAAGAAAGAAAAAAGAATGAGTTCAAAGTTTGTATTTCACTCAAGTTCTACATTATCATATTTTTATGAGTGAAAATTATAAGTGTTGGGATTGTTTATATTGTTTGGAGTTGTATTTGGTGGATTCTTGTTGGAGTTAGTTATGTTGATGGAGATGTATGATCATCATTTATTTTGATCATGGGTTTGTTAGGATTTGGTTCCCTTAATGCATAGCTTTTCTCTCACATATTCCCAAATTTATCCTACCCTTTACCCTAGCCTTACATTACAAGCTTTAAAGACCTTCCGACCTTTGTGCATAGAGTTGTGTGAATGTGAAAGTGTTGTTTATCAATGCAAGTTATGATTTGACATATTTCGAGTCGACTAGTAGGTTGAGCGTTCATTGTTTTATACACACGAGAGTGTGAGTTGGGAGGGCATTGTTCACATAAAGGGTTGGTTGGAGAGCGATCGAGTACATCTTTTACTCGCCACATAAATGAGAGTTGAGTGCGTGAGCACTAGTCTTGAATTCTATATGCTCATGTGGTTTGCTTTACTTGACAATTGTTGGGGATGAATGATGATTAGATGTATGAGATTAATTGACATTGAAGCATGTTCATTAGATTTATTTTGAATCGTTTATGCTTGATTTTGTTTATTGGGATGAGGCATGTTTTATATGTTCATTGATGAGCTCTTCGCTTAGGCACAAGCAAAGGTTTGGCTTGGGGGAGCTTGATATATCCAATTTATATAATGTTTTAGCCCCGTCCCACAGTCATAATTAGTAGTGTTTTTGGCTCCTTAGAGCCACTTTTATTAATAATTCATGTTTTCTAGTGTTTTCGTAGTTTTAGTTGTATTTTACAGGAAATTGCACTTTTGGAGCATTTTCCCGGGTTTTCATGAATCAACTACGGAAGCTAGAAGGACACGACCACTCTTGAAGCCTAGGATCGGTGAGAGCCGATGATTAAGGGCTCGATATGAGATACCGGGGCTGTTGGATCGATTAATCAAGACCCGATGAGGAAACTTAGATTGGGCCGAGGAATTAAGCCTAATCGAAATCCAAGCCTCGAAGAAGAAGACCGGGCCCGATCGGGCAAGCTTACGCCCGATCGGGCGGCTGCGCGCATAAAGACCCTCAAGGAAGAGGCGCGCCCGATCGGGTGAGCGTAAGCTCGATCGGGCGCGGCACACCAGCAGCGGGCAAGGCAAAAAAGGCGGGCCCGATCGGGCGGCCCTTCGCCCGATCGGGCACGTGTTTTTCTCAGAGCTGATTAGATTAGTTTTAATTTTTGTTTTGAGGAATGTTTAAGTACGAATTATTTGGCGCCGTTATTGTTTTTTCTCCCTAAACTTATTCTTTGTAGTATAATTCCTTTAACTACAACAAATTGGTTACTTTAATAATTTAAATTATAATTGATTAATTAGGAATAGAAAGACCAGTTTTCCTGTGGATTTGACCCTACTTCCCTATCTACTATAGTTAGAGGACTTAGGTATTTACTTTTGATTAGGGGATACGACTTTACCCTGTCAGTTAGGGGTGTAGTTTTGTTTGGTTCGGTTTTGATTGGTGTGGTTTGGTTCAGTTTTTTTTTTTTTTTTTTTTTTTTTTTTTTTTTTTGCTAAATTTGGTGTTTATATTGCACTACAAGAAAAAGGGGAATTAGCAACTGATTTTTGCGACTACTATAATAATCAATCGCAAAAATTATTTTTGCGACTGAAAAAGACTAGTAGTCGCAAATTTTGCAACCGATATTGCGGTAGTAGTTATGCAGTCGCTAACTAGCAACTGATTTTTGCAACTAACTTAATAATCAGTCGCAAAAATAATTTTTGCAACTGAAAAAAACGAACAGTCGCAATTTTTGCAACCTATTTTGTAATAGTTGCTATGCAGTCGCTAATTTGCGACTAAATTATAGTTGCTAAGGTTAATTATTTTGAAACCATTTTTGTAAAAAAATTTGCAACTACTACCACAACTAACATAGTAATTGTTACCATTGTTTATGAAATTTAATAGTAACTAGGGATTCTTACGCGCGCGATGCGCGCAAATGGCTAGCCGTTTAAGGAGAATTATTACTGTTGGTCTTTATGCCTAATGCATATTTGCATGATATTTTATTATATCTATTTGCATAGTTATTTTTAAGTACGAATTAAATAAATTAAACAAGTCATCATATAATTATATATTTTTTTTAAAAATAAAGAATCTAAAAAATGCTTTGAATATTGAAATAAACACAAATAATTTAATTAATTTTGGTGATTCAAGAGACATAAAGGCCTTGTAAAAAAAAAGAGACATAAAGACTTTTGAATTCAATGGGGGTAAATATGTAAAAGAACATTTATAGGGATATAAATGTCCATGCACTATTCATAAGAGTATTGTTTCACTTTTTATAAGGTAAGGAAAAAGAAATACAAAAAAAACACAATAACTTGTTGCTGCAAAAAAAAAAAAAAAACAAGAACTATCATACCTACACTACATTCTCTTCTTGACTTCTTCATTCCTCAAAAAACATATCAAATTTACCCTAATAAAATCGCTTGAAAATATCAAATTTCCCCAATTTTGTGCGCTGAATCTCTACAACCTCTTTCAATATTAATCCCGAATCTTTGTTTGAAGAACCCCAAACATTGAATTTGTTGCCCTTTTGCTGAACTTGCTCTTAAAATTTGCTTAATTCTTCAAGTTTTTTGTGAATTTCAATCGACCCATACAATTTGCCGAATTTCCTCATCCTTAGGTAAGGTTTTTCTCACTAATTTTTTAGTTTTGCTGATTTCCCCTTTTAATTTTGCATAATATGTATCTGCTTTGCTATAATCCATACGATTTATTGAATGTTTTGGGTTTTGTCAATTTCTCATTACTACATGTTTAATTATTTCGTCAATTTCGATTTGGTTTTGCCTAATCAATCGACTATTTTTTCTATTTAATCTATAAGTGAAGATATAATTCCATTATATGTTATCTGTATGTAAGAACACTTGAAGAACTCCCTGTCAAAAAGAAATAGGCCGAGAAAAACACTTTAATTAGGTATCTTGTTTAATTTATGAGTTATTGATTAATGTATTTGATTGTTTATAATGAGTGCTAAGTAATATATGCCCTGCTTCTATATGTTTCAGATTTTTTAAAAATCTGATAGTTTTAGGCTTTTGATTTTCACTGCTTTAAATTACCTTGATGTTATATAGGTAATTTGTTTGATTTTATAATGTTAGAATCTTTCTGGCTTGGTGTTTTAAAGTTTTTTGTAGTGATGAAATTGAACTGTAAGCAGTTATAATATACCTGTACAAAATCTGTTCATATAATTCAATTAATGTGTCTAATAAACTTGTATCCAAGGTCTAAGGCTTAGTTGTTGGGATGGGGGTTTTAGATGACTGAAAAACTGAATAGGCTACAGCTATGTGAGCAACATGTATAAAAAAAAAGCTAAGAATTTATATAAACCTTGAAGGAAAACAATTCTTGCGCTTAGAACATGTTTATAAGATTTTCCAGTTGTACCACTTGACAAAGACTGAATTAAAACCCTATAAAATATTTGTAGTTAATTTTTATAATATTTTTCCTTAACACTAGATATCCAATTCTAACTATTGCAACTGGAATCGCCTCAAAATTCGAATCCAATTGGTGCAGTTTATTCTTGCAATCTGACCCACATGTAGAACTCGAAAACTGACTTTTAGATATATCCTTGTATATGAAGCACCTGGAATTTATGGCTTATCTTTTGTTAATTGGTATAATTTTGTAGAACCCTCAAAAAGTGAACCTTAGAGGGACCTAAGATATAATCTACTTCTAAGCAACACAATCTTACTAACTTCACTTATCCATCTCATATGCAGCTGCATATTTTGATGTATGTAGTTTCCGCTGGTCTGAAATTTTGTTCTCTGATTTGGTAAAACATATTGAGTTGTATCTATATCATAGTTTTGTTGTGCTTGTTTCACTATAAGCATATGCAAATCATGGATATCATACACAGATGCATTAAGTTTAGATGTATACTATATATAACAATTATTGTTTCATTTTTTGTTTCGATTAAGTTTCTTTTTTGGTTTCTCTCTATTTATGTTGTCCCACCTGATGAAGATTGAACACTTCTTTTTTTAATGTTTCAAAAATAACGAAAAAGGATTGTGTATACAATATATGACTTCATTTAAGCTACTTTGAATTATAATTATCTGATAATTGTATCTATTATATGTTTAATTTAGTATATGTAGTTGTGTGTAGCATAAATTAGTTGAACTGGGCATATCAAGGTAGGAGCTCTTGCATGTGCATATAGATGATGAATTACCAGAACATGAATAATATGAAACGATATCTAGAATACGCTTTCCTTAACAGGTGTATGATTCATATAGAGAAGTAGCAAACATATAGAGGAGTGTAAACTAGACCTCAATACTCAAATCATTGTCTGCCTACTCTTTAATCAAAACTCAAATCATTAGGCACTAGGGTGAGTGTAGCTCACTACTCTTTAATCAAAATTCAAATCATTGCCTGCCTACTCTCTCACCTCTCTTTGATTATATATTACAATTCACAAAAGTGATTTTCCAGAATTGTCTTGCTCCACTAAGGTGTGTTGCGGGTTGTTGTTGTGTCTTGCTGGGGTTGGTAGCTACTGCACCTGATGGGTTATGGTGGGTTATATTCATTTATGTACTATATTTTTTATTTTAGTAGCTTATTGTCATTTTTTATGCTTGTTCTTAATCTTTCTTGCATCAGGTTTGTTGACTATACTGTTAGCGGAAATATCTCGAAATCTTGGAAGGCACACTACAACCATCCATACATGAATTGGGCCGAGGTGCCACTTATGGTTAGGGATCATTGGTTAACTAAGTTTTAGGTATGTTTATAATTTGAGACATTTTCTTGTACTCGTTGCTCTTAAACTAGTGAAGCTATATGTTTAAATATTAGCTTTGAGTCTCTAATTTTTTGTGGAAAGCATGGCCAAAGCTCTGTGGAAAGCATTTCATATTTGAGCGGAGTTCCATTTCCTATGTCCCGAGATAATTAGATCACTGACCTCTTAAAAGTGCATCCATTATCTGTTGTTACGTTAATCTATTGGTTGGATAATTTAATTTGTTATGTTTTTTTTAGCAAGTTTTATCTGGATGATACAATCCTGTCACTGGAATCAGATTTTCAAGCATGAGTAATCAAATATTCTTGATGCAACAGAGGCACTCTGAAATCTAGAGGCACTCTGAAATTACATAGACATTATCTATGCGTTCATGTAATGAACTAGAGTTACTAGACTATCTTACTCACCAGAAAATAAGACAACAAGCAATAAAGATGCAAACTTTAAAGAAATTAGAAACTCAGGGAGAAGTGATGTGTTTCGTTGAAGCAGAAACTCATACTATAGGGTGACTTCAGGCCACCAGTCTCTAAGGCAGTGACTTGGTGGGTTGCTGTCACTTGTTGTGCTGCTGTGACTTTGTGGGCTGCTGTCACTTGGTGTGATGTGATGTGTTACTGCTTCTTTGTTCATTTTTCCCCTCCTTTATGTGATCGACCTACATGGCATTATGCTCTGTTATTAGAGAGTACTTATAGCGTCTCTAAACTATCCTTTATTCTGTAATGAACTACTACTATTTTAACTCGATTTCTTACAACTAAAGAAAGAGCAAAAAAAAAATAACAGTAAAGAAAATGAGGGAAGATTGGCTGGTTTTTGTAAAATAAATCAGAAATATCAGTAGAAAATAAGGGAAGTCAGATTGCTTTTTGTAAAATAAACCAGATGAACAGTAAAAGATACAATTACCACATAATACCTAACTAAGCCAATCCCTACTCCCCCTTTTTATATGTACATAACTCATTACATTCAGCAAAAAAGTTAATGTTTGAGATATTGTAGATTGTTTATTTGTTTGTGTGTTTTGAGTTGGAGGATGAGAAAAATTGGCCAGCGCTAATCAAATGATTAATGTGGTATGACATGATGTGAATCGAAGCAGGTTTTGAAGCCATACCCTATTGGAGGGAATTGTTCAATTTACAAAGGAGACTTTGCCGAAATTTTTACTAATAATTGATAACATTAGTATTATTATAAGTGTTTCATTTTTTATATGCTTTAGGTCTTTTAAGTTTTAACAATTGAGACCATAGTTTTAATACATTTCTTAATGCAGATTAGCTCAGACAAAGTCTACTTAGAGTTTGTAGGTGGGCAAAAGAAAGGAAAAGTTTACGGTTTAGGGAGCGCTTCACAAATGTACTTCAAGAACGACCCTACTTTTCACCCTACTACATCATCTTCCATTCCTCCCATGATTTCTCAACTAAGCTCTCAAGTTGAAGAATTAAAGAAGATAGTGGAAGAAAACCATGACAAGGCAGAAGAAAGCAAAAAATGGCGGCATAAAGCTTATATGCCAAGGAAATTGCTGAAAGTCATGAGATAGAAAAGGCAAAATGGAAGAAGGAAAAAATGGCTATGCACAAAAATTGAAGGTTATGAAAACACTTGTCTAACATTATTGTCCTACTAAGCCTCCTACGCCTACTGTCACCTCATCTCATGATATAACTATGTGATTTTTATTTTCTTGGTGATTTTTGAAATAATTAGTCATATGGTTTAGACTATCTTTTTTGATACGTAGTTAATCTATTGGATATTTGAATAAAATTGACATTTTGGTTATCTGAATTTATGCTTTGGGGTTTTTATTTTATTTATTTATTTATTTATTGTGATTGATATTTGTTGTCGCTAAACTATGGTCTCCAAATCGCAAAAAATTTAGCGACTGCAGATTTATTTTAGAGACTAATTGGTTAGTTGCAAAATAATTGGTCTCATTGTCTCTAACCCGACACAAAAAAATTAGTCTCATAGTCTCTAATCCGTCGCAAAATAAATTAATCATCGTAGTTGCAAAAGTTCAATCTTGTAGTCGCAAAATTTCAGTCTAGTAGTCGCTAATCCGTCACAAAATATTGGTCTCTGTAGTCTTTAAACCTTGGTATCCGTAGTCGTTAATTCGTCGCAAATGTTTTACGACAGACAGTGATTTAGTTACTAAAATTTTAAAGTTAGTCGCTAAATGTTAGTTGCAAAGTCGTTGCAAATCTGTCGCTAAATTTGCGACTATCAAAAAATTAGTTGCAAAAATGGATTTGCGACGAGGTCTTTAGTGACAAACCAAAGTAGTTACAAATCCGTCGCAAATCCATTTTTGCGACGGATTTGCGACTACTTTGGCCGTTGCTAATTCGCCTTTTTCTTGTAGTGTTGCTTGATAGGAAAAATCGGTGCGGTTTTTTGTTTTTTTAGAAAACCAAAATTTAGGTGGTTTGGTTTGGTTTGGTTTCACTGCTAAAGTGGTGCGGTGTGGTTTCCAATTTCAAGAAACCGAAATATGGTGGTTCGGCTTCGGTTTGGGCAATAAACCAAACTGAAAACCGAACTTTCACCCTGTATGCGTCGTTCAAAGTGCGCCTACGTTAAAACATGTTGTGAATATGCTTCGCACTCATAGAAAGTGGGAATTGACATAATACGATTAGGGACAAATTAAGTAGGGAACCGCCAACAAGTTTTTAAGGAACTTGTAAACCGTTCACGGATCATAAAAAGGCAACCACGATTAAGGGACAACGATAAGAAATAACAATTGACCCGTGAAGATTACACCCCATTCATAATCCATGAGATTACTAACTCCATATGGTTCGGAACCAAGAAAGGAGGATCGAGGATGATGGTACGAAGTGAGTCATGGAGTCACATATTCCCTTTAAACATGCAATATGATGATCAATAAATATAATAGAATTCTCATTAATATTGGAAGCAATTTGACAATAATAATGTGAGTCAAATCAAATATAAAATAACCTAATCATGATACTAGCAATATTAAAATAAAATAAGAGTAATTAAATTAATTAATTACTCACATTCCGCGCGTTCCTTTAAATTGCTACATCATGAATAAATTGTGAGTAACTTCAATAAAAAAAAATATAAATCAAATGAAAATTAAATTAAATAAATGTAGATTTGATTTGGTCCAAACCCTTAGTTATTTATACCTTTCACACCTTGGTTTAAGGACAGAACCTCGGCTTTAGTATAGACTCCTTGGAGTTCTTAAGGAAGAATGATATAATTAGGAATATAGTTTTAAGGCCTAGAATATGGGAGAGAGAGAGAAGAGAATGATTTTTGGTGTAAAAGAGAGGAAGAGAGAATGATTTGATGCCGAATTGTAGAAATGAGGGGGGTATTTATAGGAAAAATGAGTAGAGGGAACACATGGAACCCTAAAAAGATGAAAACCCTAAAAAAGGCTACCGCGACACGACATATTCTACCGTGACACGGGGAAATATTGTGTGACGCGGGGGATTGTTGTGTGACGTGGGGCATATTTGACCTACGGGGAGTTAAAACGCGTGAAGGGTGTACGCAGAGAAGACACGGACCTGCCCCGTGTCACAGGAATGGGCATCGTGACACGGGAATTCCTACCGTGACACGTCAGTTTTCCCCATGTCGCGGCACAGTTTCCCGTGGCGCGGGGGGAAGTTTTGTGGGCACCGTGACACGACAGTACTCCCCATGTCGCGGCACAGTTTCCCGTGACGCGGGGAAGTTTTGTGTTCAGATTCTCAGGCGCGTGGGGAAAGAAACGTGGAAAAAAACACAGGAAAGTACCGTGACACAGGGAAAAATCCCATGTCACGGTACCAGGCTGAAAGGAATGGTGTCCTTCGAACAAGTGTACTATTCCGTTAGTGGGTTAAGAATTATTAGAAAGCGAATATATTCAGTAAGGTCAAGTGATCGGAATGCCTGGGTGGAAGCCGCTTTCGATCAGTAATATTAATGCATAATTAATATTACAGCTTAATCTTGACTCAACCCTTCGGGTCTCACCCAAGCAACTAACGAACCGAATCGACGAATTAATTAAGAAGAACTTAATGAGTCGCCCGAGTAATTGATATTTAGACGTCGGAAATTCGAGCTTGGAGCGTCGAAACCGAGCATCGGAGAATCCCAAATGTCGAGCAAAAATTTAGGATTTGGCAAGACGGGAAAATGCTTCAAGTAACAAGTAAAATCTAGCCACGTGAAAGGCTAGAAGAGTGCGCCAAATAGGAGTGTGCCACGTGGCAACACTCATGGTAGTACACCACATTGGCATCCGCCACGTTGGTGGCGCGTTGCCATGGTGGCAGCGTGCCATGTGGCAATGCTCCACGGTGGCGGAATGTGTGGCAAGGGGCCGTGGACCCGGGTGATGGGTCATGGACACGGGCCAAAAGAAAGTGGCCCAACCGAACCCAACTTGGGGCTCAAGGTTGGGTGACACATGGTTAGTTTACAATGCATGTGAAATGCCTTGGGGACCAAGTGAGAAAGTGGTCCTCACCTAACCATGTGACACTTGTTACTTGTTCCTTGGTTTATTTAACTAAGATTTGAATTCATCAATCTTTCCATGTGGGATCTTTTTGTGAAAAAGTCCCACATTGAAAGATGAGTGAAATTCACAAGCTATCCTTCCTTATAAATAACCAAAGCGTGGCTTGAGAATTCTTCACTTGAGTAAGAGTTGAAAAAGGCATCACCATTGTGAAAACCTTTGAACTCATTAATTACTCGGGTTTTGGTCGGGCCTTGCTAACCCCAAGGCATTGGACCGTTTTCGGTGGTCAAGTTGTGGGTGGACTATCGTTGGAGGCTGTTGTAATTTCGAGGCTTGCTTTTGAAGTAAGAGCCCCTTCCGTTTGGGCGAAACATGCTCCAAAGGTAATTATCTTATCTTAATCTTGTGTTTAATTTATTTATGTTTATGAATTTATTTATTGCGAGTGAGGTCTTGGTTTTGGTTTTGTTTCCACGGTGAGTCGGATTTACCAAACCCCAACAGCGGTATCGGAGCCTCACTCGTTTATTTTTAAAATCATAATATTTTTCAAGGTGTTTTTATGGCTTAAATTTTCTGGTATTAAGTTGCTAATTAGATTAGTAGCTCGTTTTATTTATTTTAACCTCGTATTAGAGCTGTCTTCAGCTCCCGAACCCAGATTTCGGCCCAAAAATAGTGAATTTTAGGTGGAAAAGGCGTTCAGGAAATGGTTTTCCCCTTTTAGAACTCGGTTTTTAGCCAAAAAACGACCAAAAATGCATTTTTCGAGGGATTTTTCGTTTTGACGAAAAATTTTAAGTCTTTCTAACCTTGAAAATTAATTGCATATTTATGGTGCTTATGTAATTGGTTCAATACATATTTTATATGCAATTTTAAACCACTTTAGGCATGATTACTTTATGGTAATTTGTGTTTGAAAGCTTGGTTTTTATTTTTCACATAATTGCAAATTAATTGCATTAAGTGTGAAATTATTGTTGTTCTTTGAGGCTTCTATGTACTAAAGATTAAATCTTTAATTATGTTAAGTGATTGAAACTTTGAGTTACTAAATTCCATAATTTTTTGTTGAACTTTGTTGATTTGATCATTTTTGAGTTGATTGGAATCATAAAGTTTGAAACTTTGTGATAGAAATTTGTTTATCTTCATATTGGAAGATATAACTTTTCAAGGATTCACAAATGTTAGTAGTTGGATTTTTCATTTGAACATTAAAGTTCATATTTTTCCAACTCCCTCTTACTTTGTCAAAAATCTCAAGATTAATTTAAATTGATTAAATTAATTAATAGTGAGAAATTTCCCTTTTTCCATTTTGTTGCACCAAGTTAAACCAATTTAATTAAAGAATGGTTCTTGGAAATTATTTTGGTTAAATGCACTTGAATGAATTAATTAAGTTGTACTTGTTTTATTTTCATTTATTTTGCTCAAAATATTGATTCTAGAATTAATTTAGAATTGATTAGAAATGTCGCACAAAATCGGGAATTAATCCCGAGGCACAAGCACGCAAACCAAGGCACAATAGCCATGAGCATCCCTCGGCTAGCTGGGCTGCTCGCACAGCCCGCATGTGGCTGCCGAGGAATGATGGCTGTTGTGCTTGGTGAGTGTGGTGCTAGGTGTGTGCGAGGAGCTATGTGCTGACTTGGTGCGTGAGGGGCGTGCGAGAAGATGCTAGGCGTAGCAGCAGTGCTAGGCAATAGCAGCTAGACGCGCATCGAGTGCGAGCTGCCAGGAAGTGCCCAGCAGCATCTCGGCACGCAAGGCCAAGGCTGTTGGGCAAGCGCCCAGCACTTGCGTGCGTATGAGTGCTCAAGGGTGCTAGCCTTGGGTAGTCGATGCATTTTTCTCTCGGTTTTAATTTTTCTTTTTGGCCGTTTTGTTTATTTTAATTAATTTTGTTTATTTTAATTAGAATTTTGGGGGCTAGGCCTCGATTTTGAGCGGCATTGGCAAAATTTATTTTGACAATTTTGGGTTCTACCGGCTTAATTAATTGGATTAATTGAGTTGGATGTGGAATTTAGTGGGAGCTTCAAATATTAATTGCGCTTATTTTCATAACCGATTAAAACAACTTTGACTAGTTTTAATTAGGCGTGTTAATTGGATTAACCACCTAGATTAGTTACTAGTTCTCGCGTGTTTATGCATTGTTACTTATTAATCGTTGTAAAATGCATGGGCCATTCACATATAGTGAATGGATGAATGGAATGTATATTCTCTCACAGGTTTTATGAAATGGCAACTAGTGGGGCCCGATTAGGATAGAAAAT